GCGAATCGCATGGGCTCGCATGCGAATGTTATGTGGGATGTGCCAGACCGATGCGGACTTTGTGGGCTCCTACGCAGAGCCGACATGGACTCGATCGGATCCTGTATCACAGCGATGCGCAACGCATCGGACCCCATGCAAATCTGGCACGGAACGTACGGGATCCAGCGCGTATCCGACACGGGCGGCATGGGATCCTATACAGATCCGATACGGAATCTAACAGATCCTGCGCATATCCAGCGCGGACTGCATAAGATCCAACAACCGGGCAGATGCGCCCGTCCAAAACAAAAACCAAGCGCCTTTTCGCGCCCGCCGCAGGGGGCGCCATAACAAGCGTGGCCCATCGCGCCGGGGTTGAACACCCAGGCCGCGAGGCGCCCGCTAGGAGTGAATTGCGAGAAAGCCTCGGGCGCGATCGACCCAGACACCTCGGACGGATGCCGCTGGACGCCGCCAGGCGGACACCGCGGTTCTGGGGGGCCCGCCAGGGAAGGATTGGCGCGGAAACGAGACGGGCGAAGCAAGAGCCCATGAGCGCAAGCAGCGGTTGGACAACAAACTGCGCGCGAGCGGCCCAATGATCCGCGAGCACCACAGTGCCCCCGTGAGCACTAACCGCGAAGAACACTCAAGACCCCCCCCCTTTCCACCCAGCGGACACACTGCGCATCCAGCGCCCGCGGCGTGAAATTCGCGGCCCCCCCCGCAGGCTTCGTCAGGGCGCGTGGCACGTTTTGCAAAGATGTAGATAGCCAATGGATATCGCAACGATACCTCGGGCTTTCTTGAAACGCCCGCGCACGACCGAACGAGACCCGGCACTCTGCTCGGAACTTTCGTGGGAAGCCCCAGCGCATCCAGAAAGAAGGCCTTCAATGTCCCCCCTGGAATCTTTCGGCTTTGCAGAGATTTCGGGGGGTTATTATGCGCCGCGAGGTTCGTGGGGGGATTCCGCGGGAATCCTCTGGGATCCCAGCAGAATCCGACGAGCCCCGAGGGGCATCCGCGGGGCCCCTCGCGATCCCCGAGAGAATCCGCAGGGGCGCGCCCAGGGGGCTGACCCGCGGGGCGGGCCGAGCGCGCATTTCCAGCGCTGGCGCCAATGCTACAGTCCGAGAAGACGTGCGTGCAAATGGACTCCGCGCCCGCGCCAGGCCCGCAGGTGTCGGGGCGTCTTCGTCGGAGTTCTAATGGCGCTGTCAGCCTTCGCCACCCCGTGCCCCACCTGGTTGCGCGCTCTATTGCTGCGAGCCCGCGCCATGGCATGCTTGCGCATTTCCCTTGCCAGCGAATGCGTCAGGGATGCCACTTGCGCCGCCCCTCGCGGGATTCGCGGACGCGCTCGGTGCCGCGGTTTCGCGTCGCTTCGAGGCCGCGACGCGCGGCTTCGTTCTGCGCGGGGCGAGCGCGGGTGGGGTGGTGTGTGTGTATGTGTGTGTGTGTGTGTGTGTGTGTGTGTGTGTGTGTGTGTGTGTGTGTGTGTGTGTGTGTGTGTGTGTGTGTGTGTGTGTGTGTGTGTGTGTGTGTGTGTGTGCGTGTGCGTGTGTGTGTGTGTGGGGTGGGGGGGTGGGGCGCGCGCCGACATGGTTGCCCAGTGCTGGTCGGGTTCTGAAGGAGCCAAGGCCCCCGCGAAAGGGGGCGCGGGGCGTCGTTGCTCGCTCGCCCCCGAGAGCGCCGAGGGCTCTGCTTCCGCCCTCTTTGGAAAACGGGCAAAGCGTTACTTCCACAAGCCGACGCAGCGCAGCCACTTCCAACTATGCGCAATCAACATCGGATGTCCTATCAAGGTCCCCCCCCATTGGCGGACCACGTCGGCGCGTGGATTTCCGTCTCTTGAGACGGGGCGCATCCACGCGCCGATGCGGTTCGCGGACTTTCTGCGGGGGCGACAGGGCTGCCCCAACATGGCTGGGCTGCCGGGCCCCCCGTGTACCGCGCGCGCGTGGCTTACATGGGGAAGCCCCAATCGCGGTGGCTGGGCGCTGGGGTTGATGGGGGCCTCTGGTGTTATTCCTCATGGGCTCCCATGGGCTCCCTATGCATGTTGTTTCTGGTTCTGGTGGAATTGGCTGACGCTGTGGGTCTCATGTCGGCGGGTAGAAATCATCTTCCCACGTCCGGCGTCGAGGGTTACACTGTACTCTGGGATGCTGTAGTACGCGCGGATGCGCGCACCGTGGGTTTCGATGCACCTGGAAGCGCTGCAAAACTTCGCGAGGCGCGCGCCTAGGCTCGGCCCCAAGGGTTTCGTGTCACTTTGAAACTGCGCGAAACGCGCGGATGTGCTCGGCGCCGAAGGCTTCGCGGCACTTGGAGGCCGCGCGGAGCGCGCAGATGCGCTCGGCGCCGAAGTTTTCGTCGCACGTTGAGGCCGCGTGAAGTTCGCGGGTGTGTTCGGTGCCAACTTTTGAAACTGCTTGAGGCCGCTTGATATTGCCGTCGGGATCCACCTGGCATAACAAGTGCTACTATGTATGTAGCACTGTGTAAACTTATAATATTATATCAAGGGTCGGAGAATCTCAAGGTAGCTCTAGCACAGAAGGGCCGCCACCCAGGCGCGCCAAACATCTACAAACTTCGAACAAACGTTTCGGCCCACGTCGGCTCGGCGTGGGTGCAGCGCCTGATGTGACTGTGTGGGGCCGTCCTGGATCTGATGCGCACGCACATACGACCTCTTGAAAAGTGCACACATCCGTTTCCGTTTTTCCCCAGTCTGCACCGCGAGACTGTAATATTTGCGTGCGTTACCGTGGAAACTTCTACACGCCAACCGTTGAAATAAACAAAACAAGCAACCACACGTACCCGAACCGCAATAAAACGTAGCAGCAGCTATTAAGAAGGACTCCCCAAATAATCCCATGAAGTTCATGAGTGACCAGACTTTCAACAGACTCCTTCGGGCGCCCTGATGATCCCGAAGAAATTCCTACGCACCCCTCGGGTCTGCAAGGTTGTCCTACAGGGTCCCCCGAATTCCAAAAAGTAACCCACATGGAACCCGACGGAACTCCTTCGGAATTGCAGCGATATACGAAGGACTTCGGTGGAAACTATCAAGTCGCATGGGGGGCGACGTCATTACTAATTTTGTCATTCGGTGATCAATGATGTCGCCTGGCGAACAAAAGCTCGCCGCACTAATGAATTGTGCAAGTATGATCCAACCCGATGTCGCGTTTCCCAAATGTTTGCCAAGGTTGTAATGTCATGCGGCGACATCGTTGCGAGGGAAGCTGGGCCCTGCGTGGGCCCACCATCGCGCGCGGCCGCCACAAGATTCGCAGCAACATGTCGAACCCTGCTGGTGCCTCCACGCGCTTGCGGTCACTACAACAACCTGGGGGCACAACGAACACCTGCAAGCGCAACGACATTTTTTAGTGGTCGGAAGTGCTGGCGGTCGCAAGCGCGTCTGCAGAGCAGGCGGGCCGCGCCGGGAAGGGATGGACGAACCTGCCGACCCATCTGCACATGCCCACCCCTTGGGGAACGGAACCCGCAATGGAAGTCGGGACGCCCCCCAGAGATGGGTGCGCCTTGAGGGCTGCGCACTGTGAAGTCAGAGAGAAAGAGAGAGAGAGAGAGAGGGAGAGAGAGAGAGAGAGAGAAAAGCATAAAAGAGAGACATGAGCGACGATCAAAAACGGGTCCTACGCGATATGGCGCAGCGACCCAACGCGATGGCTTACGCGGTTCGCCAGCGCGGCACGCCACAATGGAGACGAGGGCGTTCAACCGCGACCTTACACGAGCAGCTTGCGCGCGAATGCCGGCGCAGTCGAAATCCGTTCTTGTTGCGTCGCTCACGCTGGCGGCCCGCTTGAGCCACCGCGCAAGGTTGCTGCGTCATCTCGCGTACGGCCCGTTTCTGGTCGTCGCTCGGAGGGGGAGTGTGTTCCACACCTGCGGGGTTCCCTCCCGCAAGTGCTGCTACACCCGAAACCCTGTCGGGCGGTCCACGGAACCCTCACCGGGTGCCTTCCGCCGCTGCGCCTCAGCCCGGTTCGCTCGGATCCGCTCGCGAAGTGCCTCGGTCAGAGGGAAGAGAGGCGGCAGAAGGCAAGCTGGGTGCGCTCGGGCCACATGCGACATCCTATCCCTCCCTCCCATCCTTTCCCATCGCGCTGATATTTTCTTTAACCGAGGACGCATTTCATAGCCGATCTGGACCTTAGAAAACCAATTGCGTTATGCACAATCAGAACAGGGAAACTGCGCACATAGGCGGAGGAAGAGGACGAGGACGAGGAGGAGGAGGCGGAGGAGGAGGAGGAAGGAGGCGGGCGAGGACGAACAGCAGCAGCAGGAACTGGAGTGGAAGGAACGGGAAGATCAAGAGGACCATGGGGAGGCGGAGGAGTGGAAATGAGGGGGGCGACAACGATGAAAGAGGGCTCGAATCAAGAGAAGTGGCCCGCGCTGGGGGTGGAACGCCTGTCTGAACGACGGGGGCAAAGCCCCGATTCGAGAACGAGGCCCACGCTGCAGCGGGTGCACCAGTTGGAAGCGCTGGAAACAATCGGATTTCGAGCCAACCATAAGAAAATCACCTTTGATCAATCCTGCGCGGCAAAATACGCGGGGAGTGCGGAGCATCTTCAAGACGGAGCGAAGGGAAAGAGGAGGGTAGTATCTAGAATGCCTAATTGTAGAAAAGGGGAGGAGGAGGGGGAGGAGGAGGAGGAGGAGGAGGAGGAGAAGGAGGAGGGGGAGGAGAAGGAGAAGGAGGAGGAGGACGACGAGGACGAGGAGGATATGATAGGATAGGATAGCAACCAGACGGTGTCTGTTGGACGAGGAGGACGAGGAGGAGCAGGAGGATGAGGGGGAGGAGGAGGAAGAGGAGGAGGAGGAGGAGGAGGAGGAGGAGGAGGAGGAGGAGGGGGAAAGTTGGGGACAGGGATGAGGAGGGCAAAGAGGGGGGAGGGCTAGGAGGAGGAGGAGGAGGAGGAGGAGAAGGAGGAGGGGGGTTGGAGGGAGAGAAGGGATGGCCGCTCCTCTGGCGGCCTCGCCCATGGAAGCGGCGGCACCCGCGCGGCCATGGCCCGCCTGCGAGCGCCTGGCGGCCCCTGAGCC